GTTGCCAAGTCCTCCCTGAGTGCCGATAGAGGCCGAATTCTGTTGAGGTGAGCCAGGAGGAGAATATCCCGCACAAACATTTCTTGGGGAAATGATGATCTTCGGTCCGGTTCCTCCCTGAGCTGGTCTCAGGCTAGTCCCCGCCAGGCCAGGCTGCCCCCTAGCGGCAGGTCCCAGCCCTTTATATCACCCTCCTCGAGATTAAACCTTGCAAGTTGTAACCAACTTTCATGAACTTTCTTGCCCCAGATCCAGAGGGGGAAGGAAATTCCCAGAGAAAGGAAACGAGAGGCATCACTAGGTTGTTCACCCAGGGCCCTGGAGATTGGTGACTCTACAGATGGGGCCTGGGAGGGCTGTGCCTGCTGGGTGCCCCTCTGTGTGTCCTGAACACTATCAGGGGCATGGTGAGGTTCATGGAGTGAACAGTCCCTCAGCGTTGGATTCTGGGGGGTCCCTCCAGGCAGTAAGCCAGTGTGGACTTGCAGGAGTATCCCCAGGGGAGCCCTGGGTCTCCAGCCCAGCCTGGCAGCACCCTCAGCAGGGCCTGGGTGGTGAGTACCAAGGGAATTAGCTGCTGGAGGCTGGAGCAGACAGAGCCAGAGACCTTGCCTGGTGGAGAAGAGAGGGTTCTCAGATGGTGTCCTTGACCCAGGGCACCTTGGGGGAGATTTGGGGGAGATGCGAGGTGCTCAGTGACTATGGAAACTTCTCCAGAGAGTGAAGCTGACTTATTACCACACCTTGATTTCACACACTGCAGAAGTGCCAGGGGCATGGGCTTTGGCTGCTGGACTCAGGGACAGACTAGGTCGCTGGGTGGGACAGAGGATTAAGTTTTCCCCTAAGATGGGCCCCCTCTGTGGCCTTTGGCACTGCAGCACTTGTGCCTGACCCACCCCCTGTGAGCTCCCTGGATCAGGGATAAGTGTGGCTTCTTGCATGAGACACAGTGCCAGCTACCACCTCCTGGTGCTGTAGGGAGGGGCCAGGAACTCCTCCTCCACCGCAACCGGAAGGATCACTTAAGCCACAGGTTCTGCGCAAATCCTCCAGGCGGCCCCCCGCCCTTGAGGGCCTCTTCCTCCAGCTCTCTCCTCCCTATGACCACCTGCCTGTCCCCTCCTCTTACTGTCCTTTCCTAGTGAACACCAAGCTTGCTGCAGCCTTGGGGTGGCCTCTCCGTGCGGACTCCTCTCCTAGGTGGTCACACAATGGGCTTCTTCTCTCCACTCAAGTCTCAGCACTAATGTCACCTCCTCAGCAAGGCATTCCCTGCCCCCGCCCATCTAAAGCAAATCCCATATGCCCCCATTGACTGTCTTTCTCACTGACCTGTTGCATTTTCTTCCTAGAACTTAGCAATATCCAAAAGGATCTTGTTTGGTCATTTGTGTGTGTAGCTGTCAGCTGCCTGCAAGGGCTGTGTGTGACACACCTGGTGAATGTTTGTGGAACTGAAGGGCTGATGGAGGACAAAAGGAAGGAAGGCACCAGGAGGGAAAATGAAGGAGAAAAAGGAAGGATGCAGGGATGCTGTTGGCAGAGCATCCCTGGAGAGGATGGGAAGGGGAAGGGACTCTGGCTCAGGAGGTTCCAGTGGTCACCATCAGAGAGGCAGCTGCAGGTCTCCTGGCCCAGGAGGAAGACTGTGGAGGGGGCATCAGGACGAGGCCAGTGGCAAGGAGTGTCCCTGAGCATGGACTTCACCAGGTTGCCCCTCGATACCCCTAGGTGGCTGTCAGCTCTTTGGAATCAAGAGGCAGGGTCTGCAAGTCTCGGGAAAGCCCTCAGAGGTCACCAGGGCCCCCCAGGTAGATGACGGGCTAGCATGTCCTCCTCTCCCTCCCTCATCCACACTGTCACAGCTGGCTACCACTCCACTGGATCCCCGCAGGAAAAGCTTCCTGGGGACGGTGGGCAACAGCAGTTGGAGTTCACATCCATGGGGGAGAGGGTCATCCAGGTAAGGGTAGAGGGAGGGGGCTCTCACTCCTCCCCGGTATGTCCCAGCTGATTCCCTAGCATGGCATCCTGGCTCGCATGTTGGACACAGGAGTGTATGGAGCCTGGTGTGTGTGGTGACTGCAGTGATGTCCCTGGTGTTCAGCCTGCAGCTGTATTCCAGATGCTGGATGATCCTGGAGACCAAGCTCAGGCTCCTTTCCTGCAGGGTCGGCCATGGACTCAGCAGCACGCTCTAACATCCAGTCTAGGGGTGGCCCTCCACAGCCACAGCCCCCATCCTCCTTGCATGGCTGCTCCTCACCGAGCTGCCCCTCAGCCCAACTAGGTCCAGGGACCTGGAGGTGCCTCCCACGCTGGCTGGCCATCAGGATATGACCCTGGAGACAGACAGCAGTGACAGGGACATGTGTGTCCAGAGAAGGCTCGAGGGAGGGGTGCCCAGGTTCAGGTGAGCTATGTACCAGGGACAGGGCTTTGTGGAGAAAGCTCTGGAAAGTGACAGGTGAGCTGCAGGGGGTGAAGTGTCCTTGGCGTACTGACCAGGGGAATTAGGAGCAAAATCGCAAGCAGATGGGATACACAGCACAGTAGGAGACCTCTAGTCTCTAAATCACTGTGTATTTCCCAGTAGGAGCTCAGAGGAGCGCTTCTGTGTGGCTAAGGTTCTTGGCTTTGTTTTTGATGGAAAAAAAATCTGACATGAAGCAGCACTAAGAGGTGATGTGAGATAAAGCATGCTTTACTTGTAAGAGCCAACAAGGAAAGACGAGATCAACCCAGCTTAGAAGTGACCCACTCCTCAGGAAAATTGGTTCAAAGGATCCAAGTGTTTGTTTTTCTGGAAAGAAAAGAGATTTCTGGCCCAAAAGGAAAAGCTTCAGGGATAGGGATATGGTCACAGTTTGCTTAAGCACATTTGCAGGAATTTCACATTTGATAAGATTTATAGGATATTTGAAAGGGGGACAATTTCCAGGAACATTTTTTTTTTCTTTTTGAATTGACGATTGTATTTAAAACAGTGTTGCCATCTCTGCCCTGGGGGCCCACCAGAGGTGCTGGCTCACCCCACAGATGTCCTTCTGGTCCTGAAGGATGTTGGGCTCCTGGCTGGGGATGCTGACATACTTGTGGTATAGGTGTCCCAAGTCTGGACATCAGTAAAGGGCAGATGGAGCACCTTCAGGGTGAAGGGTGGAGGGATTCTTGGGAAGCAGAGAGAAGAGCTCAGAGGGGAGGCGGTCACCTCCTGGCTCTCATCCTGCTGGTCCCTACTTGCTCACATTCAGGTGGACTGATAGCAAGAAGCCATTTCTGCATGTGGCTCCCCTACTTCCCAGGGAACAGGGCCCTGAGTTTGTGCTCACCAAGCCCAGAGGAACATGCCAAGGCAGCTTGGGGTGGGGTGGACAGGGTACAGCTCAGTGGTAGAGCGCTTGCTTAGCATGAGCGTGGTCATGGGTTCAATCCCCGGTACCTCCCCGGTACCTACATCAAAACAAAAAAAAGCTAGGAAGACCTGTTCCCTTCCTCCCACTGGCAGAGCACACAGAGGTGTGGAGGCACCCTGGGACTCAGCCGCCCTCCCAGTGCCAGGGCGGTGGGTAGGGATGGACACAGAGTGGGGTGTGGGGCAAGAACCAGGACCTGGTTTCAGGGCCCCTCTCTGGCTGTGGACTAGTCAGTGGTCCAGCCAATGACCCTACTCTTCTTGGCTCTCCAAAGCACAGCTCAAAAGCGAGTCAAATAGTGCCCCTCAAAAATCCACGTCTGCCTGGAACCTCACAATGTGACCTTCTGTGGAAACAGGGGCTTTGCAGATGTGATTAGTTAAGATGATGTCATAATGGATTACAGTGAGAGTATCCTTATGAGAGACAGAAAGGGAGACACAAGAGAGACACATGGGGAAGACTATGTGAAAGGGCGGAGATCACAGTGATACAGTCACCAGCCAAGGAACACCGAGCATTGCCAGGAGCCACCAGAAGCTGGAAGAGGCAGGAAGGATCCTCCCCTGAAGCCTTCAGAGGGAACACGGCCCTCCTAACATCTTGGTGTCAGATTTGTAGCCTCTTGCACCGTGAGAGTGTACATTTCTGTTGTTTTAAGCCACCCAGTTTGTGGTCATTTGTTCCAGCAGCCCCCAGAGACGAATACGAGGTGATATTACAAACGTGATGATGATGACAATGATATAGTTGCTGACATATGTTAAGAGTTCACTCTTGCCCAGCCCTGTTGGGAGTATGGGAAATGCACATTCCACGTAACCCACATTAACCCCATGAGGCTGGACCTTGAGATTTCCACTTGCCGGAGGAGGAAACCATGACCTGGTTAAGATGGTGGAGGTCACCTGGCCAGGTCTGAGGCCTAGCAGCCAGGCTCTGGACCCACCCTGTGATGACAGGGGTAATATGCGAATACTCTAAGTGTGTTATTGGTACAGGCGCTGGCCCATCAGAATTGTCTGGACCCCAGACTGGACCAGCATCCCGGAGCCCTCTGCTGGGCTTGGCATTAATCCTTTGGTCACAGGAAGGACAGACTGGGAGACTGAGGGAGGGTGTTGGGTGGCAGGCTGCTGCCGAGCTGGCATGGCAGTGTTTCAGTGGCTCCCCCTGCTGTGGCCGTACCAGTGTTTGCAGACTCCACGTCTGTCCTGTATGAGGGTGGTGGCAGATGCAGCTGGCCCTACAGAGGGTCAGGACTGGCCCCCACTGGGTCACCCCCTCACCTACCCTGCCAACTCTGGGCGTCCTTACCTAGACCTGTTCTGATATTCCCCCAGCTGGTGGCCCAGTACCAGGTGTGGTGATCCAGAGGGTCTCTGGGTTTGGAAAGGCAGACTGGAAGAATAAGGTCGCTGAAAGTGACAAGTAAGGCCAGCTGCAGCAGGGCGATGTCCCCAGTGCCCCACTCTTCCAAAAAGCTCAGGTGGGTGATGAACTGGACCAGGGCTCGGAGTCCCTGGGGCTTGTTGGCCTGGGAGTAGGAGGAGATGGAGCCCAGCAGCATGAAGTAGGCAGGCAGCAGCTGGTCCCTGGGGGTGGGAGGTCAGGGGATGGTGAAGGCTGTGCCAAGATCCCATGGGCAGGGCCTAAGGATGATCTTGGCTCATAGGTCCTAACATTACAAATCGCCTTTTTTTGAGCTGAGCCCCTGCCAGCAATGACAAGCACCCTGTTTAATCCTCGAGGCAACCCTGCAAGGCGCCCATTACTTGCTCTGTTCAGTGGGCATGAAACAGGCTTGGGAGGTGATGCCACCTGTCCAAAGTCCTCCCAGCTAGTAAGCAGTGGACTTGAGGCTTGGGTTCCCAAAGGACGTTCTGATGTGGGAGCTTTAGGTTTTGGGGAAATGAATTATTTCTTGGAATGTGGACAATGGGAGGGCCAGGGCTGGGTCTGTCTCCCCAACACTCTCCCGTGTGCCCAGCCAGGGGACTGAAGGTGGAGCCGCTGAAGGAGACACGGGATTCTCAACCTGCAAATCTGATGCCCTGCTATCCTTCCCTGACCACAAATGGCAGCATCCCTGACCCTATGCCCAGCATCCCTGCCTGGCCTGTATCTGTGGCCCCAGCGCTCTGGATCAGGGGCCTTACAGAGGTTGTATGAGCAAGAAAGGAGAGCTGCCCAGCCTTGGGCTTGGCGGGGAGAATGAATGTGGGAGGCTTTTCCGATTCCTAAGTTTCTTCCACTTCTCAAAAAGTACCCATCCGTCTCAATGCCCCTGCATCAACCTAGTGTCTGGGCAGCTCCCCCTCGAGGAGCTCTTTACCCTTGGAGGGCACATTGGGTCTCAGAGCAGCCCCAAATGTTTGACTTAGGTCAAAAATCATGCTCAGTGAATACTCCAATACTCTATTATTGCTTTTTTCCTCTTGATTTCTGAGAAGAAAAATGTGGACCTATTAGTTTCTTGAGTATTTAGGACATTTTTTGCTTTAGATCATTCAAAACTCTGTTGTTGGTGCAGAAAGGCTAATGCCTCTTACATCTTTTTAGCGGCTTGTAACTTTTATCAATGTAAAATACCCCTGTATCTCATTCTTAAGACTGTGAGCCTTGGGTCCTTTTATCTGAGGTTATCTGATATGTGATCATCCACGGCCACTTTCATCTTTTTGCAATTTTCCCACATATATTCATCAATCAAAAAGAAATAAAAAGAAGGTATTTAACAGCAAGGTGCTACTATATAGCACAGGGAAATATATACAATACCTTGTAATAGCCTATAATGAAAAGAATATGAAAAGGAATATATACACATGTATAACTGAATCACTACGTTGTGCACCAGAAATTAACACAACATTGTAAACTGACTATACTACAATTGAAAAACAAAAGAGCAGGGGCGGGGATAGCTTAGTAGTAGAGTGCGTGGTTAGCATGCACGAGGTTTTAGGTTCAATCCCCAGTACCTCCATTTAAAAAATAAACAAATCTATTTTTTTTAAAGGAAAGAAGTGGGGAGGGTATAGCTCAGGTGGTAGAGTGTATGCTGAGCATACACAGGGTCTTAGGTTCAATCCCCAGTACCTCCTCTAAAAATAAACAAATAAGTAAACCTAATTACCTCCCCGCCCAAAAAAATTTCAATAAATAAAAATTTTAAAAAGAAATGAAGACATTTAGAAAGAAATTACAAATGTTAAATTTCTTAACCTCCTTATGCTTGGTCCCTACTGCAATATACTTGCTGGAATCCTTGGAAGATAGTAAAGTCCTTCCACTAACAGTATTATGGATTTTTGTGATTGTCAAAGAAACAGAAATTTCATAAGATTCACTAATACCTTATGGGGATAAAGGCACATCCGGCCTGCTTGAGATTTTGTTGTTGTATGGTCCCAGAAATTATGTTTGAGAAGTCCTAGATTATCAGAATTATGTAAGAGCCCACACATTTCCCAGTAAATCTGATTAGAAGACATCCCGACAGTCCTTATCATCGCTGTCATCAAGTGCTCCTTAGAACACCCAGCAAAGCATTTGGCACGATCCTCTTTTCCAAATGTGCTCATCGCATCCTGTGAGCATGTTTCTGCCTATGTTAGGAATGTACAGGGGGGAGGAGATGCGTCTTCCTCTTCTGACTCTCGTAAGCTAGGAGAACTCCCTGTGCTGGAGACAGGTACCTGGCCGACAAGTACGTGCCTTTCTAAGGATCTGCTAATGGGGATTCCGTAGCCTGGCCTGGTCTTCATCATTTCTCAACCTCTTGTTTTATTTTATGTAAAACCTTTTTTTATTATGGGAAATGGATAAGACAAGAACCAACCTTGAATATTGTTCCACATTTCTACATTTTTCTCTTATGGAATCTACCCCTTTTAAACGTTTG